TCCCGTGACAATTTGTATGCACCTTGTTTTTCTTTCTACAAACAATACTTTAACTGACTCCGTATTGTTGTTTTTTTCCCCACAAATTGCAACAAAGTTGTAGGGGGTTATTTAAATGAGTTATATATAAATGATATATATAAGTGCCTGTGAATAAACTGGATGAATAAATATTCATTTTCTGGCTTGCACTTGCATTTTGTCTTATCACGACTTGCTTACCTTATTTTACTTAGCAGTTGCATTTTAGCGTCATTGTTCTAAAAAGTTGTGTAAAATCGGATTCGGAATTTTCTTTCGTCGACTTGAACACAGACAGCGGTAAATAAGTAAATACAATTGAATTTCAATTGACCATATTAAAAGAAAATACATAAAAGGGTGGTGTCTTCTATAAATATTTTCAAGAACAATATTGGATGAGAAAAGATTGTTAGACTAAATGTGCGAAAAGCCGACTTCAGATTGCCATTTTCACGATAGACTGAATTAATTTTATTGCTAGAAAAGAAAAAAAACTTCAGAGTGCGATTGTTTCAAACTTTTTTTCATCACACTGCATTGTCAGTAATAAAACGTGTTTTATAATCGTTAAAATTATGAAAAATATTATCGATTTACAGCTTCTTACAGGGACGAGCATTTCCTTCTCGAAAGGGTTTAGCAGGTTTTTCAAAAAACAAAACAAACGGGCATATAGCCATTATTGCAAATAAATATTCTATCCTCCTCTTGATATGAAGTAATGAAGTATAATCTGACCTTGACTGGGGGTACCTACACCCTTCCCAAACACTGTACATAGTTTTGATTTTTATGCCTGTCAAAATTACAGGGAAATAAAATTGTCTTTTCACAGTTTCTCTTTTCCGCGATTCGACACAACTTTTCCGCGAAAAAACATCTGGCGTTTCCAAAACAAGTTTTACTGCTTTTCCGCGATTATATTTTTTTATTTTCCGCGACTTACGGTATTTTACCATGTACAGTTGTGTACCTCTTAATTTCGAGAGCTAAGTAAAATCTGTTTCTCCTTGATCACCACTGTCTTAAGTCATTTTCACATTTTTGAGATGTTTATTATTTTGTTTAAATTGCAGCAATCTCTTTTACATCGGTTTAATTGATCGGTAAGACACATTGACATTCTTCAAATTATTGAACTTTCTAAAAATAAATTCATCGTATATTATGTCTCGTATGTGTATGCATTTGTACATATGTAAGGAGGGAAATGCATATAAATGCAAGTATATTTTGGCAACCGTTTGATGATAAGTGCATTGGCGTCGGAAGCAAATTAATAGAAAGGGGGGGGGGGGCTAAGTGTAAAAAAAAAATTAATACCTTCAAAAAAACCTGACAAGCAAAAAAAGGGGGGAATATCCATTTCCCAAACACGAAATCCCTATTTCGTGTGGGGAGGGGGGTTCGAACTTCAGTACCAAATTTTTGTTTCCAGACACCACCACTTTCATCCATTTTTAACCTATACTGCGACGTGTCTGTAGAAAGTGGGGGGGGGGAGCTAAACCTACGAAGCAATGTTCAATGTCTATACTAAGTATATATTTGGGAAAAAAGTGGGGTGGGGGGCTAAGCCAACCCCACCCCCACCCCAACCAACCAACCAACCCCCCTCCAGGTTCCGACGCCTATGAAGTGCTTACTGTAGCTATTTAAAAATCGCGGAAATTCACAGAATTTATGGCAGGGTTGTGACTTTGCTGTTTGGCGACTTTGCTTCAGGAAGTCTTAGAGCTAGCATCAAGAAGCTCTAAGGTTATAGGACTTAGTGTCCAGGAACGGACTTTGTATTCGCGGACGACTTTAAGAGGTCCAGTCACTCAAAGAGAACTCATGGTAAGCTTAGGGTCCAAGCTTCCGTAAGCGGGGGAGGGGGGGGGGGGTGTAGCGGACAGTATATATGTAACTTATATTGCCTCGCTAGTGAGACAGGTTTCCAGCAATGGCGAGCCTGTTTAACTCTTGGATGGGTGACCGCTTCACGTTACGATGATACATGTGCAATGTACATTATTATAGAAGCATAATAACCGACCCGACTACTACAAATACTTAATACAGAGTATGCGTGATGGTCAAAAGGACAGTGGGTGACATAGCTGTCGTTGTTGGGAATATTTTCTCTTTCAGAGACGTAACATAAATATATTTGTCGGTTCTTTATTTTTTTTAAAAAATATTTAACCTTATGCTTCATATCAATAATGATTATATACTATTCTGTAGTAATAAAACCAAAACAAAGTAATGCATAGATAATGTCTTGGCTAAATCAAAATCTTTAATGGGAAAAACTTTCAAGGAAAATGCTGGCATAAAAACTGTGATAATAATGTTGCAGTCCAGATTTTGTACGCAGTAAAAGCACATCTTGCGCTTTCAAGCGTGCATACATATAATTGTGTATGTATATTCTCGTATATTCTCGTACATGTATATACCTAATAAGTAAAAGGTAAGCATGATTGTATGGTATACTGGTATCTCAAAATTTAATTTAATCGGGAATAGGGACTTTAAACGGAAAAAAAATTTCAATGTATAATCAGCAACATATCTACAATCATACAATTTACTGAAAACAAAGGAGTGGTTCTAGCGCCTACTGATATGATATGGAATTGTTTTGAATTTATATCAATAAAATAAAAAGCATGTAAATTTAAAATGCGATGTCGAACAAGTTTTATTATTCCTACCATGCATGTATTTTCAATGAACTGCATTATATAATTGGCGGCATTACTGGATTATTTTTTCCTTCATAAAAAATGTAAACACAGAAGTAACGTCAGATTAATTTTTTAGAACTTCACGTAAAATAACGTCATTTTGACGTTACCGAAATGACACCAACACCGTGTGCAATGTACATGTGAACGTCATGACGTCATCAGTGTTATTTTCTTAAGAAAACATTGCATTTTTAGTGAGTTGTGTAGGGAAAAGGGTTTGAGATATTTTCAAAAAATAAATTTGTTTAGAACAGGGGTATTCTAGACAAACTTTTTAAATATTATCACCAGATTTTGGGACTAGGCGGATTTTGGTGCCTAACGTACCTTCTTTTTATTCTCAATCTGACCGCCCAGGATGTGACTTCTGAATTCTTGCATTTTTACCGTTTGTTTAATCTCGACGCAAAATGTATCAACGCAAAACGTAAAAATCCAAACATTGTGCTATTATATTATGTGTTATAACATTTTGCTTTGAGTAAAAACATGATGTTAGAACGCAAAATGAAATAATTCTTCAAGTATGTTGTGACATATTGCGGTATTATATTCTGCGTTGTTTTCAAATTAAAATGTTATAAATCAAAATGCAATAATCCCAGATTTTTATTTTACATGTGGCGTTGATACATGTATCACATTTCGCCTTGAAACAAGGCATTGCTTGGAATGCTGTTATCTTGCTGGAATGAAGGGATTTTCATATTTTTGAAAATAAATTCATACAAATATATATTATACAAACAGTCAGTTTATTAGTTTATTTCCATAGTAGTTTCCGGACTTTGTATAAATTAGACTCTTGGTAGGAAATTATAAGCATATAATCAAATGATCATATGATTAATCCATACTCTAATAGAATTGAATGGATTTCGTCGAAATGTATTTCTAGGACCTTAAAAACCTAAACAATTTGGTCAAAATAATTTCTTTCAAATTTTTGTGTACTATTAGAGCTAATATAGTAAAAGATAAGTATTATAAGATATGTGACAGAGGACATTCAAAATTTTGAAAATATAGTCCAAAGATATAATCCGTCAAGCAGGGGTTATGATTTAACTCAGAGGATATTCGATGTCCCGGGTAAAAAAGTTCTTGTATGGCTGTCTTACTAGCTATTTTTTTGCTACCTACACCGAAACGTAGTACTGTCCGCTGATATTTGAACCCAACATGGCACAACCCTCCAATCAACGTATACCTACATTAATATAATTTATAGGCTCAGTCACGGTCTTTGCATTATTCGAATTTTTAACTTATTAAAGTGTCCAATTTTACTGCTAATATAGTGCTCCTTGTCATTATCGGAAAATGACGGAAAAATATATGAACAATTCAGTGTGTGAATAATGGCCTAACAATTGGCATGAAAAAAGTCAGCCAGCATTTGACTTAATGATAATTTGTATTTGTTGACAAGATCATAGTATTGACCATAGGCCTTACAAAATTATGACTTGAAACGAGACTGCTGATATTCTTGTTTCATTTACTTGTTTGTCAATAACTTATCTCGTCATAGAAATTGTTCATACGTAGAGCACGCTCTGGAGTATTGAATCAACTGAGAGATCTAAGACATGAATGCAGGTGATGAGGGTATGTTCCTGCATAAGTTAGGAAAGTTGACGATTAAAAAGTTAAAGTTTCATTACGTTTTTCATAAAGTTTAAATGTTGAATATGAATATATTCCAAGTTAAAAATGTTCAAATAAAACATGTTCTAAACCCCATAGGTTTACACTTGTTTCATAAGAACATGTACTAAATCCAAGCATTAAGTTAAAAAACAAGTTGAGCAGATAAGAAAAACACTATTATCTTTGTTTGTTTGAGTTTGAACTGAACGACTTATTACAGCACTTTACCTGTCAGTCCTCAAATATTAAAAGACCCAAAAACCATTGTGCCTGATGTATTATTTAAGTCTAAAGAAACATTAAGTAGGAAATATTTTTTTTTCATCCTTGGCAGTAGACATTCAGGGCACTTCATCATTCATTCTAGAGAGTCAAATAACCAACTCAATACCTACTGGTCTTGTTTATGTTCAGTATATGCGTCAACATACAGAGACAACATGTATTGTCCTTTACCCAATCTTTGAATTTCTTCACTCTTTTTTTAAAATGTAAGCAAATTGCCTGCCACATCAAATTTGTGAATTTGCTAACAAATAACATTTTCTTTAATTTTACACATGAAAGAATTGATCAAAAACTTACAGTGTCTGTAAATTTGGCAATCCATTAAAGGCATTGTCTGGAATGGTGGTTATCTGGTTGACACCTAGGGATCTGAAATAATATTTACCAACTCTGTGAAATGTACACTCCTTGTATTTGATTGCTTATTTATAAAATTATAATTGAATCGTACTTAAATAAATCATTATATAAAAATAGCTCTGATAAGCACTAAATCCCAATAAATCATATCTGAGTTGGAACTATACATTAGTTGCCCTTATCCCAGCTTTTATTAACATCATTGAATGTTATTGTATATTTATGTGCTTTTGTTCACTTTCGTCATTTATCTGGTCAATTAATGACATGTTCACTCCACTCAAGTTCTCATGCCTTCTCTAGTGGTTCAAACAACAAGAACGTACAAGCTACAGATAGCCTTTTTATTTCATAAGATTTATCATTATTATTAGTGGAAAAGTGGTGGATATAAAAATCTATCTCATACGAAACACTCGTATATCTAAAAGGAGTGTTTTCGTTTATCAAGGTACCTGTATTGGCTACTTCAAGACGGATCTTATCCCCCACCCTTCCTTTAAACCGTTTTTGGAGAAAGTAAAGCCTAGCAGTTAAGTTGTTGTTATAAGATTCCTTTAACATCTCCAACAATGCTTTCTTACATTAGACTACGTAGGCCTACCTAGTAATGCAGGTGTAACTTACCATGGTTCAACAATGAATTTACAAGTAGCCTTGCCTAGCACGTTTTGTACTGCCACCATACAAAGAGTTAATTTTCACGATCCCATGATCCTTAAACTTTCAGTCAGAAGTTCGTTTGATATAAAGCTCCAGTAATTATCACATAATGTTTTCAATAAAACAGATAGCAAAATTTCTAAATTTTTAACAAGATCTAATTTCTTTCGAGGCATGTCAACATCAACAGTGATACGTCATCAAGTTATACGTCATCAATTCGAATTAGAAATCATACATGTAATATCACAGGGAAACATCTATAATTGTATGATTTGATATTGGCTTTTATAATTGTGTGATTTGATTTATCCAACGAGTTAAAATGCTGTATATTCGCTCGGCAATATACACTATTTACCATTTCAACTCGTTGGATAAATCAAATCACACAATATAAAAATCCTTTATATATCTTTATTATCCTTCTTATAAAATAAATAATGATTCTAAATGATAATTATAATAAATAAATGTAGAAACATTCATCGGTGTACGTTACATGTAGTCAGTTGTAATATTTGGCGTCAGTACACGGATTATTAGATAAGCACTAGTCTTCAGATTACCTATATGTGAAAGAACAATATCAATTTTTTTCCTCAGTTGTTAAAACCTTTCTATTCGATGTCCCCGAGCCAGATGTTTATTGGTAAAGTATTATATAGAAAGACTATAAACTATAGGACCATATCTCGGAAACTGGAGATGGTACCATCACCACTTTTTCATAGACGTGGTATCTGGTCCCTAGTACCCAACCCTCAAAATTACTGACCCAAGGATAGGGGACTTTGATGTCCCCGAGCCCGATTTTTATTTGTGTAGTATTATATAGTAGGGCTTAAAACTAGAAGACCATATCTCGGAAACTAAAGACGGTACCATCACCAATTTTCATAGACGTGGTATCTGGCCCCTAGTACCAAACCCTCAAAATTTCAGACCCCAGGATAGGTGACTTCGATGTCCCCGAGCCCGATGTTGATTCGAATAGTATAATATAGTAAGGCTAAAAACTAAAGGACCATATCTCGGAAACTAGAAATTGTAACATCACCATTTTTTCATAGACGTGGTATCTGGCCCCTAGTACCCAACCCTCAAAATTTCAGACCCCAGAATGGAGACTTCGATGTCCCCGAGCCTGATGTTTATTGGTAAAGTATTATATAGTAGGGCTAAACTAGAGGACCATATCTCGGAAACTAAAGACGGTACCATCACCAATTTTCATAGATGTGGTATCTGGTCACTAGTACCCCACCCTCAAAATTTCAGACCCAAGGATAGGGGACTTTGATGTCCCGAGCCTGATGTTTATTCAGTAAAGTATGATATAGAAGGGCTAAAAACTAGAGGACTATATCTCGGAAACTGGAGATGGCACCATCACCATTTTTTCATAGGCGTGGTATCTGGCCCCTGGTACCCCACCCTCAAAATTTCAGACCCCAGGATAGGGGACTTCGATGTCCCCGAGCCAGATGTTTATTCGTAAAGTATTATATACGAGGGCTTTTCAATAAACCCCATAACTTATGTTAATATTTTGAAGTGCAAACTGCGTTCTAGAATGCAGTTCACTTTAGAATTGTGAATTGCGAACTGTGAACTGCGATCTAAAATCTGATTATCATTTTGAAATTTCTGTCTTCCATCTGGTTGTCTGCAACTTTTCTAATTTTTTCCTGCTTATCAATTTAAAGCAAATTACCTTCAAATATGCAGGGGACTTTTTCCATCATAAGTCTTCTTCCCAAGAACAGCAAAGACATTTGTTGTCCCCATTTTTACGAAAAGTAGGGGATATTAAATATCAATTGTATGTCAGTCTGTTCGTCTGTCACAGTAAAGAATCTGGGGGATTAGGCGAGTCATATGTCTACGCAAGGGCAGGTAATATATCAATTCAAAAATTCTTCCAAATTCCACTTTCTGTTGAATTTGGAAGTTATTCACAACCTAATGGCCCACATAATCAGGACAGTTGTACTCTGAGAGCAAGACAACATAATCAGGCAAATGTACACAGGTAAAAAACAACGTAACCTGGAGACATGTACCCAAGGCAAAGACAACATAAGCAGGACAGATGTACCCAGGCCAGAGCCAACATAAAAAGAACAGATGTACCAATGGAAAAGCCCACATAGTGAATACAAGAAAAGTTTCAAGCGTAGGCATGTATATGCATGTCAATGGCAGGTCACACCTGGTTACAGGTAGGATCGCAATGAATTAACCGCAGTTCTGTTTCACGGTAAGGGGAGGGGGTTAATTCATAGTCCATACTGTAAGTTTTATAAAAAGCTTAACTATTACATGAATTTTATTGCATCGATTTGAAGAATACAATTCCTCAAAACGTAGACACCGACCTTTGCTTTTGTTTTAAGATTCAAACTACATTGTATACTCTCTATATTAACATGTTAAATTCTGGATTTTGTTTTGTATGAAGAAAACTGTGTATACATGTTGTATAATTGTTTTTTTTTTGTTGGTTTTTTTTTGTTAATATAGAGTTTGTGTTCTGTTATTATTATATATGTATGTAAGAAATATTTTATAGGTGTAAAGAACAACTGTCCTTTTTGTTGGTAACATTTGATGCTTATATTAAATACAATTTTCGTTTGTTGATCAAAACCTTTATTTTCAATAAAATTCAACTTCAATATACATTAATCTTTTGTCCTTTTTCATAGCATTTGGGAAAAGAGGAGGCATAAATGCATCTATTGTTTTGTTCTGATTTAAGACATACATTTAGAAAGTTACTTACAAGACACATGTATTTGTGGGGATGTTTGTAGGTACTTCAGTTAATCCATTATCATAACAGCCTACAAATGTTCCATCGCACTGGATACTCCTACCACAGTAACATCCACTAGGACAGGCCTCATTCACAGGTCCGTACATCAGAACACAGAGAATTAACGTCCACACAATCAGAGTCATTCTTATCAATCAACGATATCTACATCTATATATTCTATATCATTCAGCAAATTAATCAACAAATCAGTCCTTAAAACTTCTTATTTTAATGTTTGCATGTACTGAGACGAGGAAGCAGTTCAGATTTGACACATATTCACACATGCACAAGGAAAAGCCCTACCCTTTCCTATTAAAGTAGTAGCCTTAAACATACAAAGTCCTGTTTTCTGAGAGAATGTTAGCAATCTGCATACATTTTCTTTGATGAATATGAAATAAAAACTTCCATATTCATGACTGGTTTCCTAAACTTTTCATTGAAAATGAAAAAAAAAATTTAAAAATATATTGTTTTTATCTTGTTTACCAACAAATTATACCCTGTGACATTACGTTGGCCAAGCTCAAGTTGCAACCTATTTCATTTATCACGTCAGTCGCAGCCGGGGTTGGAACCGACGACCTTCTGTTTACAAAGTAAGTAATCTATTGGCCGAGCTACCGTGTCAAGGTTTCCTTCATATTAAACGAAGATCAAAATTTATTTTTAGTAAATAAATATCAACTTAGAAATGAAACATTTGGGCATTTATTTTATCGGAATAAGCTTAAACATTAATAACAGAGCCGATGGTAATAGATCAGTCAAAACGAGTTGTATTTTTACGCCTTATACGACAGAAAAAGACATTAATATTTTATCAAAATATTTTAGAAGGAAAAAAGGCGTGTCTATTCCAGATATAGAGAGAAAAACACAGCAGCAACAGGGTATCTTTACATCAAGTACTTAAGCTTGTTCATTGGACAGTGAAGTATATACAAGAATATCTTTTTTTTCAGATTGCTGAAGATTAGGTGATCAAAGAAAAAAAGAACATACTTTATATCACAACAAACAATGTTTTGATTACGTATATATGTATAAAAAATGAATAAAAACGCCTATAGTTGATTTCAAAATTTTTATACTTACGAAAATTCTTTTCTTTGTAGTATCGAAGTATATTGGTGCTAAAATAATATACCAAGCGTTTGCTGACGCTTATATTAACTTCTGTATAATAGAAAATAAATTCTTCTTTTATATCTCAAAAACCTAATATGTACTTCAAGGGGGGGAGGTCTAAGTTGTATAAATCCCATTACGATATATGCAAATGAAAAAAAAAATAATTATTGCAAAAGAAATGTTTGGAAATGTTTGGAACACAACCGTTGTTTATTCAGGGTTCTCCATCATTTGAGATTTTACTGTGTTGCAGAGTTTACGCAAAACACTAATATTTCGCGGTATTTTAGCGATCAGATTCGCAACTGAATCACAATTCATTATAATTACAACAGATTACATGCACACACTTATTTAAAAATCGCTAATTCGTTACATAAATGGTATGGTCGTATATATTTACGTATTGATAAAAGGGGAAAAAACGTTCTGAAAAGCAGAGGAAATTCTGACCGATAGTCGAACTTCTTAACATTTTTGAAAGAAGATTTGCCTTGTTTATTTATCGGCTTTCGTGATAGAGTTACCGCATTACAAAAAAAAAAGAAACTTCAGAACAGTAAAATATTTTAAAGAGTTTTCTTGAACATGCTGAAATTTCAAAATTTTCAGCAATTTATTTACATCAATTAAATGACTTCGGTACAATATTATGTTTGCATTATTTTTATTATTATTATTATGTTAGCTTACATAGTTCGCTCTATAGGAAAGACATATTTAAATATTTTTCATTAATAATACAATGTACACATGTATTTTATTGCAACTACCAATTAACTGGTACATTGAATTGTAAAAACAATTTATTTGTCTTTGTTCTGTCATGCATAAAGTCTGGCGAGGCTCTAGGAGATAATTGATTGATTACTCAAGGTGAAGCCCAAGTAATTAAGTATTATAACTTTTGAATTGAAAGATGGTAGAATTGTTTGATTAAAGTTTCAGTTAGAGAGAATTTGTGTGTTTAGATTTTCTAATTATCACAAATTTTACTGTGTCGGTAAAATTTTTACTGTGTGGCATGCATGAAATTTGAATTGTTACTGTGTCGGGGAAAATTTTACTGTGTCGGGAGCAACACAGTAATACAGCTCATGGAGAACCCTGTTTATTAATTTAATTGTATTATCGAATCTGACCTACCGTTTATTTTGTACAAAATTCCATTCAATTTTAATTGAACGCAGGATATGGCACAAATCAAAACATACGACTTAATGCCAAGTTAATGTTAAATAAATGGTTATTTTTTGTTCAACAAAAATATGACTTTTATATTTTGACACCGAATCAAACAGTTTTTAAGCATATCTACACTGTAATATTACTAGTATCACATTAACTCCCTCATCGGGAAAATGTTTCTCTTCTGTCGAGAGGCTTTCTATTTTTCAGAAAGTCAGACAGAAATTTTAAAGTAATTTTTTTATGAATGTCATCAGAAAGTTTGAAAATCCGACAACAGCTTAGATTTTATTGAAAAAATTAGAAAACGGCTAGAAAATGATTGAAAACGCCAATAGTTAAAAAACAGGATTTTTTTTATCAGATTTACGAATAAAAAAAGCGCAAAATATGAAAACATAATGTTGCACTTCAGTGATCGAGAGATCCTACCGGCGACGGCGATGTTGTGAAGTGCGTCAGTATGAGGGAGCATTAAGTGAGTATAACATGTTCGAATGCTGAGAGGTAATATATATATATCAAACCGTCTGAGCTATGAATCTCGGGTTTGACAGGTTTAAGAATTCTGTATTGATTCAGGGCAAGTTCACACTTAACCACAAGAGAATTTTTAAAAGTCAGTGAATTAAATTGTACCTCGAACCCGACCTCTTTTGTACTACAAAACTGATGCAGCTTTCCTTAAGAGTTCAAGAATGTTACCTAGCAAAAATGGGGCGATCAATCTTTTACCTTCAAATTATTTGATAGATCAGAATTTTCTGTCTAAAGTTTTATTTTCGTATTCAAGTGAACGACAATGTTAATGAACTTTTGATATTGAAATTGGGATGAGGGAGTTGTGAAGTGAAAATATTTTTACTCCGAACGTGGAACGATGTAAAAAAAAGTATATGGAAAGTTTTGATCTGTATTAATCGTATTCTATTGAAATAAAAAAGTTTTGTCTTCTAGATCAATCATTAACAATGAGCGTGTGAGAATTGTTATGGTGGTTTGAAAATCAACTTCGGACTAATCCAGTGGTTTCTCGGACTCTACAACGATCATCAGTTACTCATGAACGTTAACGTTTACCTAGCAGTAATTATTGTAGCACAAATAGAAATCTACGTCAAAGTCGGCATATAATGCTATTGCTTCCTTGTCTATCTGGCTACGAAAGTTTTTACGACGCAATTTTATGCACTTGGATCGATAGATTAGAGGTGAATATTGTTTTTCCGTCAGTTTGTCTGCAAACTTTTAACCTTCGCAATAACTTTTGAACCATGACAGATAGAGATCTAATATTTGGTATGCATACTTCACTAATAAAGCTCTTTTAGGTAACACCAGGGTTATTAATGCAAAGAAATCGCGCTGCTTCTCTGTTTATTTCCCAATATATTCAAATGGAAGGATCATGCATTAAATTGTTCATTACACCGAAAAATTCAACTCCGCATTCAAATTCACAATTTTCATACAGATAGTTAAAAAGAAGTTACTAAAACACTTTACAGATGTCTATTATACAAATCACAAACTTATTTTCCCTATTATTTTCTAAGAATACTTATTGGAAAGAAGATCGCTAATTTCGTACATGTACCTGTTTGGTAGATGAATCCGATCTAAATCATTGCTAATTGTTCTGCTCTCAAAGTTTTCGTTTATCAAACGACAAGAAAACATATTGAAGCAAGCGTCAAAAATCGGCTGCAAACCAAATTGTTTCCTTTCATGGAATAAAGTACTAAATATTTAACGTAGAAACTGAAAATTGCGTGACCTGATATTACGTTTTTTTATATTTATCTGTTTAAATATTCCAGTGACATGAAACACTTGCATGCGACATTGCTGATTTTCTTTATGCATAATACATGTACAATATTACATGTTTAAGCAAACTGTCTATAATCGTCTGTGTATCTACACTCAGTTTGATACAAAGGAAATCTGGTGGAAGGTTTTTTTTTACTTTGATAAAAAACGCAATAAATATCTGGGGCTCATCGCTCTCTCTTAGAGGATATTAACACCCCCAACTCCCACTAGATCCACCACTACTCTTCTTCTCTTTCAGTCTATTTTTTTTTTGGTGTTGAGATGTGGCGGGAAAATGCTTGGTTCCTTGTAAACCATGCCTTATCCTTGTCTCCTGAACCAAAATCTCGTAAGATTCTGTGCTTTTAAGAAATGAATATTTCATTATATTTTTGAAATTTTCCATAGGAAATGTATGAATATACACGTCATTTTATAATAAACACAAAAAATCCTGTTTTATAAAAAAGAGATAATAAAATCGTTGATATATACAACGAGGTCTTTGTCTAAGACCCTATACCTAACACTCGTCCTAATTTTTTCCGCACTTCAGTAATGTTAGAGTTTGTCAATCAAGATTGGATGAAACATATACCCCATTATTTGTAAAATTTAATTTTGCTTTTTGTTAAACATTTAGACAGTCTTTGTTCAATATTTTATAGCAAAAATGTTAAATATTTTTATTTAATTTTTTTTTACCTCCGCAGAAACGCACGACGACTTCAAACTTTCATATCAAATAATCAACCGCCTCCTGGCGGCCGGTAATAATTATTGCGGAAAAAGCAAGAGGTTTTAGAAGAGATTGAATACGATAAAAAGAATGACGCCGGAGGGAAATGTGTTGCTTTATGGTGCTGTCA